TTGTTCCTGATTTCATGGCCGATGACCTTCTCCATTGCCTTTAGAAGAAAGGTCTTGGGACTGATGTTGACGAGGTGTGGAAGTAGGAACTCCTTACCCTGCTTAAGCAATACTAGACTGATGCCGTCCACTCCAGGGGATGTATACTGACCGAAAGAGTCCAAGGTCCAGCAACTTGAATACCTAAATAGGAAGTTAATTTCTTTAAAAAAAGCGAGGATTTTAATACGCCTTTTCATTTTAAGGGAACATGCATAAAGTGTTTAAAGTTTGTTTGTAAATTTTAATACAAAAGCTGTTGATACAAAAAACTGAAAACATTCATTTCAATTCTCACCCACAGATGCGAGTATCGACTATAAAACTTTGACAAACATGACAAATACCGCAATGAACCGTGATGATGCCACGTCGCCAAAACGAAAATACACAATAAAGAGCAACAGGAGCAGCATTAAAAGGTCAGCAGGTAGTGGTGCTGCTGTAACTGCTAGCACGTCTGTAGGCTACGACGTCGAACGAAAATATGGGAAAATACCAGCCCACATCTATTTGTTGTACCTACGTGCGTCCGGTTGGCAAATGGTGACGATATTCTTTTTGACGGCTCTGATTTGGCAAGCTATGCGTGTTTATACGGATGTTTGGCTACAACACTGGACCGACGATGGTAGCACAGATAATGCCAACGCATACGATGGTAGTAGCGCTGGAGGCTACTGGGGGAAAGCTGATGGTATGACGATGATGGCTGTGTCACCACCACCATCACCACCATCCCCACCAGCAATGAAGAGATTTGATAGAATGGGAATATATGCAGCAGTGGCAACAGCAGCGACATCCAGGCCGGCGGCTGTCATCAACACTGCTTACAATAACACTAACAACAGTAATAACAGCTACAACAATAATGACACTGACAATGGTCACGCCGAGGATGTCACGTATTATTTTCACATTTATTCGGCGATTTCGTGCGTTTGCATTGCAATTGCGGCGATATCGACACCAGCCGGTCAATTGGCTGGCTGCAATGCGCGCAGCAATCTACACGACCAATTGCTGTTGGCAATTATGCGAAAACCGTTGCACTTTTTCCAGGTGACCCCACTTGGACGACTGATGAATCGTTTCGGCAACGATATGGCCATCATCGATAAGGTAAATGGGGTGCGCAGGTGATGAAAATAAAGCGAAAGCAAATGTAAATGAGTTGGTAAAAGATTAAAATAAATTGAGAGAGCAGGGGGCGAGAAATTGAAATATTTTAACGAAATTGTATTCTTTGTATTTGATAGAAAATTGCTGCCACCAGCCAACGGCTGTTACAATTCTCACTACTCTGCTTGTGCGCTGTGCTCATCAACGTCAGTATTACGCCCTGGTTTATACTATTAACAGCGCCGATTTGTATTGTTTATTATGTCATACAGAAATTCTACAGGTGCTCAGCGAGGTAGGAGTCATTGGATTCCTCTAAGCTTTACAAAAAATAAAACTATAGTTTTTATTAATCCGCAGAGAATTGCAGCGTATTGAAAACTCAACCAGTTCACCGGTCATCTCTCACCTCTCAGAGACCATACAGGGTGTAACCACCATAAGGGCATACAATCAAGAGGCACGCTTTACCGAGATACTCTTCAAACGATTGGAAGCGAATACGATTGCATTTACGATCTTAAATACGAGTAATCGTTGGTTGGGCATATCGTTGGTATGTTATAAATTTATGTTCCTACTTATCTTACTTCTCAGTGCCCTCTACGCTCAAATAGAGGAAGGAAAGAAAACGCCTTATTTCATTAACTATTATAATTTCTTTTGTTTTCTCTTCTGAACAACCTTAGGACTTGCTTGGCGGTTTTATTGTGTTCATTGCGATCATAACCGCTTTGATAGCAGCATCTATAAGTTGTAGTCGTTTAATAAAAACTAAGCAATATTGCAACACACATTCTACTCCCGATTTGTTGACGCCTTCACCTTCATTGGTCGGGTTGGCAATCAACTATACTCTCCTAATACCGATCTATTTGAATTGGGTTGTCAAGCTTCTAGCCGATATGGAAATGTATGTGGGTTCAGTGGAACGTATTGCATACTATGCTGAAATTGATCAAAATATTGAAACACCGTTAGACATAACTTGGGCGATACAGTTGCCAGTGAGAAAGGCAAAACAAAATCAGCTGGGAAATCGTCAAAAGATTCGTGTGTAAATTTTGAAGTGGCGCGTGTAGAGTTTTGTAAGCCGAGGAGTTTATCGGTGCCGATGGTGTTGAGTAATTGTAAGTGTGATATGATAATATTTTATCACATAACTAGTACCCAGCTTTTAAGAAAAACCAAAATTTCATATTTGTGTATAAAACGCTTCAAGCAATGGAAAATAAATTTTTGTATCATAATAACTCAAATCAGTTTGCATCTCTCAAGAAACCAATGCTCTTATGTACATAAGTATGTAATTATGTTTATTTCCTCAAAAAATTTAGAGTAAAAACAACGCAGCTTTTTCCTATAAGCTGTAAGTTCTAAGCTTGAAATGAGAACAGACTATAATACAATAAGGATTCTATTTACACTGCCTTGAACGATGAAAATTTCTTCAACATGTCTTAATTGAAAAAAATAATATTTTTTACGAAAATTCTTTGAAAGAAATGCCACCACGTTCTATTGCAGTACAAGTATGTATGTAGCTTTTAAAGTCTGACAAAGAAATTATAATTTAGTTACTAAGGACACACTTAGGCCACCATGGGCCCGTTGTGATACCAAATTAGAGGCTACTTATTTCCCTCCTCTTACCTTAGAAATGGAACCACTTCGTAGCTTCGTCGTAGACACTGGATGAATACAGTTCAGCCAGACATTCAAAAGAAAAATGGATGAACCAGCGTCGGCGAGCCCTCGCCAAAGCGGAACAGTGGCATTGGTAGTGCTCCACGCTTTCGATTTTCTCCTTATCACGGCTGATACGGCGGTAGTAGTTTGATTGCAAACCCATTTGAGCAGCGTGGGTTCCTATCAAGCAGTGCTCGGTGAAAATTCCAATTACAGTGACCACTCTAAGCGGAGGAGAGGGCGAGATCTATACCCCACTTCCTGTCTTCAGACCCAACTTAAGTCATCAGTACATATGGCTGCTGGGCTTCTGGCTCAGGACCGAATCCTCCTCCCATTTATTCCATGAGGGGATTATTGTCTAGAAGTTATTCTTTAGTCCATTAGGCAGCTTGCCGGTATTTTACCATATAATTCCACAGGTAGAAAGTGAAGCAATATCTCTAGGGCTTAAGTCGGCGACGGTGGTAAAGCTCACGTGATGATCATGCACACCACCCTTTTAGCCTTTGCTATTTCATTTCTTATTGTAGGTTTATCTACGGACGGCCACCAAACCGTGATGTCGTAGAACAGAATGGGACGCACAACTGCTGTGTAGATCCTTTTGCAGGTGATTTCCCTGCGACGGTGCCTCTTTACTAACCCAGTAACCCTTCCAAGAGTACCTTTGGGCTTTTCTGGTAGCATTTTTAAATTTATTCAGGGCTGCATTGTATGCAGTCCACGAACCATCACGTTTTAGCGCATTAAAGAGTATCCTGCTTTCCTTCCTTAGAGAGGTGATATCTTTGGTCTCCCAGTGTGGCTTCTTATTTCAATTTGTTTCTATGAGCTAAACTTACCGAGAGAAGTAAGATTTTCGAATGAAGGCTGCGCTTCATCTGACAGTAAGTCTAGCTTATTGCGAGAAGCGTTATTGAGCAGATACCACGAGAGACCGAATGAAAAGAGTCCCGAGAGAGAGAATGAATGGTCATTCCCTACATTCCACTCCCTAATTCTGCTCATAGAAAAAGCTAGACGTGCAAGTAATATCCAATACTTCCTTTCTGTTTGAGGAAACTCAAGTGGTTCTATTGCCTTTGCACACAGATGAGTCGGTTCAAATTTCCTGGCCTCGACAAGGTGATATCAGCTTCGAAAGTGTTAGTTTATGCTACGAAGGTCAGAGGGAAAAGGTGATAAAAAATTTAACACTAAAAATTCCGTATGGACAAAGGGTGAGTAATTGATTGATGAGTAATAATTTGAAATATAAATAAGAAAAATGCGGAAGTGGAAATTTGTTGAATTTTTCGCTGTTATCCCTGTTATCTAGATCGGTATTTGTGGCCGCACAGGCAGCGGTAAATCTTCGTTAGCCATGTCGCTGCTCGGTGTGCTACAAACCACCGCCGGACGCATCTGCATCGATGATGTGGACATAACCAAAATTCATCCAGATGAGGTGCGCATGCGTGTATCGATGATTCCACAGGATGTGCATATTTTCAATTTGAGCATACGTGAAAATCTTAATCCTACCAACTACTATGCCATCTCTGAGCTGTGGGGTGCATTGGACAAGGTGGGATTGATGAGTTTTGTCAATCAATTGCCTGAGAGTATTGGTGAGTTGTGTGGTTGCATTAGGAAGGGTTTGGGTATTATTATATACATATATATATATTTACTTCAAACTTGTAGACACCATTGTTGGCGATGGCGGTGTGCAGCTGAGCGCCGGTCAACGGCAGCTGATGTGCTTGGCGCGCATACTTTTACGCGGTTCGGTGTGCTTGATACTCGATGAGGCGACCAGTTCCTTGGATAACGCCGCCGAGCAGGCGTTACTCACAGCGGTGCATTGCTCATTTCGTGGGCGTACAATAATAACTATAGCTGTGAGTTAAGAGGCTTTGTTATTTTTAATTTTGTTATTTTTAATTTTAAGGGTTTTGTTATGAATTTTTATTGGTACGTATGCATGTAGATAGTTTTCATTGATTTTTAATTTACTTTTAATTTTGTATTTATAATTTCTAATTTTACAATTACAATTTAATTTTAAATACTTTTTATTAATTTATTATGGAACGATTTTACGTCGAAACTCGGTAAAATTTGCTTTGGAGACAACTTTTAAATTTTTACACCGAAATACATAAAAAAATAAGAAGATTTTAACTGAGTTATGAGTGTAAAATTTGTGTGAAAATTCCACTTTATACATAGAGCATTTTATTTTTATGAGAAGATTTTAACTGAGTTATGAGTGTAAAATTTGTGTGAAAATTCCACTTTATACTAGAGCATTTTATTTTTATGATAGTGGCATTAATATTTATGGCTTAATCATAAAAAGTAAAATAGATTTAAAGAGCTAGATTTTCGATTTATAAAACAGTTAAAGTCTTCTTTATTTTTTATGAATTTAGGTGTTAACTTTTAATTTTTCGATTTAAATATCTAAATTTCACTTAATATTAAACATTTAATTATTCTTTCTTTAAAGCGCAATTTTTAAATTAAAATTTTTCCTTTTTCAGCATCGCCTGTCGACAATACTTGATTATGATCGCATTATTGTTTTAGAGCAGGGTCGCATTATTGAGGATGGCACACCAGCTGAGTTGCAGCAGCGTAAGGAGGGCGCTTTCTATAGCCTTTTGCATTCAGGGCGTCCTTTAAACTCCGTGGGTGGTGAGCACGAGAACAGCAAGTGCAACAAGAAATGAGTTCTTAAAGTTTAGGCTCCATAGTTTTTTATATGCCGACGTGTGTATGTATGTATGTGCATTTATTATTGTGCCATATTTTGCCGTATTTTGTATTGTAAATTACTAACTATTTTTTTACCTTATAGTAATTCAATATTTTTTTTATTTTTGCATTTTGTGCTTTTTTCAAAGTGCCACATCAATGCAACATCCTAAAGTTATAAATATTTATGGCTGCAATCAATATAGTATTATTGTAAGTTCTACTTTTAGGCTGATATTTCTACTTAAAAATACGCTCATCATATTTTCTAGTCTTTCTTGTTTGAAATTATTTATTATTTTTACGCGATTTTTGGTACTTACTATAAGTATACAGCATGTACTTGTACATTTTTGTAAGCGGACTAAATAATATTCAAAAAGAGTTTATAAAATAATGAAATTAAATAAATTTTCGAAAATTAACTATAAGCGCCTTGAATTACACTACGAGTATAAAAGCTGATGGTTCATACGCATCCCAGAAAAAATCTCTGACCATTCTACCGCAGCTTAAGACGCATATGTTTTTTGGCTACCCACACATTAAACATGCAATTCTCTGTGTGAACGTGACAAGGAGGCTAAATTTAACTGGCAAGTAAATGAGAGTGGAAAAACCACGCTTGCAACTGTTTGCGCGAGCCAGAAGTAAAACTTATTCGTCGATTCCATAAGGGAGATAATGTGAGGGCAATATTTGGTTTCAAGGTACATGTTTCGTAAGAAAAAGCTGTAGAACAGAAATTTTTAAAATTTTTGGTGGTGAACGGTGTTTGCGCTTGTGAATCTTCCGGTGGCTCCTGAAAATGGCGAGGCTACTAGGAAAAGCCCATTGATGCACTGATGACTTTGTTTGTTTACGTTTTGAATGAAATTTTGTAAGTAAATATCATTGGTTCCCACTTGATAGGGTAAATTTATTTATTTTCATCAACAATTTTTTCCTTAGATTTTCTATTTAGAACAGCAAGTCGGGACTTTATCTATTTTTCAACGAAATTTTTTTCGCTCATTTCTGAAACCACCCAATTGATTTGAAAGAAATTTTGTTAGTTTTTGTTGTTGGTTCCTGCTTTGAGAGAGAGGATACTTGTGAACCCGATAGATGGCGCTGTTTATTTGTGCCTATTTTAGTTCAAATAAATATTTGTGCTGTGATCAGGTCTCTTAAATCCGTCTTATGCATTGGCATTTGCAAATAGGCAGGCGAAATTTAATTTTGATATTTCTATATTTTTGCTGGCAACTTGTTTATCTTCTACACACTTACATATGTGTGTATATAAAATGTGTTTTAAGTAGTGTTGCCACCCATTTAAAAATCTCGTCTTAATTTATAAATATGTAAGTTACGTAAAATATTAAAATACATACATATGTATGTACATACATTAGGACGGGTCCATATTGTTTGACATGCGCGTATAGCATAGGAAGATTCTACGTGTAACTGTAAGCAAATCTGCCGAAGAGACAATGGTCCAAGATCAATTTGGAGTTTACCAAATTGCGTAAATAGGTTTCGAAGAAAATTTGAAAATTTGTACTGTTGCGCCCTCTGGTGGAATTTTGAAGAAAAAGATAAGTGGAGAAATGGATTGCTCATGCCTAAAATGTCCTTATAGCATGCTTTTAACAAAAATTTAATCTCTTCTTTTCAAAACTACAGCAAATGCTAAGAAACTATTTGGGTAATTTGGAAAACTCCTAATTGATTTTAGACCCGTGGTTTATTCGAAAAATTTGCTTAGAACTACAAGTAGAAACCCTCTGTGATAAACGCGCATAGTCGAAAAAATCTCCCATACGGATTGACCCGCTCTAATGTGCATATTTGAAAGCTCTGTCTTCCCATCAGCGAAGTGTGGTGCAATACGACGCAGGAGCAGCAGCTGAAGAACAAAGTAATAAATTGCACGAAACTGAGTTGCCAACTGCATGAATTTCAAGTATTTGTGTAAATAAAAATGCTATGCGAACAGAAAAAGATAACAATTAGGGGAACCACGCACATGCTGACATTTAAGCCGACAAGCTGATCAAAAATATTTTTCGAAACAAACAGTATTTTCATCGCTTTATGTGGCACCTTTGCCTACGTGCGTACGTGATGAAATGTAAGAAATAATATAGCTTTTTATACCGTAACGCCTACTATGCTAGTGGCTTTTAAATCAATTCAGATTTCGATTGAAATTGAAGCGGATGTTTTTCTTATTAAGTTGAAGCGTAGAGCCAAGGATCTTTGCATACCATCGGTAGCCCAAACGCGGCATCTATGAATTTCATCTAGGTAAATCGAAGTATAAATCACCTTTTCGTACAGGCGACGATGGGATTTTAGGAACAGATCTCTTCTATTTTTACATTTTTTGTTCCTTAAATTTCTTCTATGTACTTTGTTATATATGTAGGTAAATGGCCCAGGTACTACTCAAAAATATATCTACTTATATTTTTATATACAAATTATAAAAAAACTTTAATTGCAGCTTTTCTTGTAAATAGGTCTTAACGGTAGTCATACACCCTAAATAAAATCTCTGGCAATCTTAAACAACATTCATTCATACCTACATACATAAATATGTACATATGTATGTGTAAGCCAACTCAAGTGCAAATACATATATACTTATATAAATACATACATACATACATACCTACTCAAGAGCAACTGCACGTTTATGTGTAGGCGAGCCTGTGGCTTAGTATTTGATATGCATGCGGCAAAGCCAAATCCATAAGAAATAACTAGCAACAAATTCCACAAAAACAACTACCATAAACTCGCAAAAATATAAAATCCTATCCAAGAACCGGAAAAAACAGTAACAACCGCAATGTTTGGCGACTATGTATCCAGTTGGCTGTGTAGCAACAACAGTGTAAAGCAGTAGCAGCTGCGGCAACCTGCAGCACGTTCCAAATGCAGTATGCGACGACGACTACGATGCATTCAACATGGACGAATGGCCAAAGATAGTAACGGGTGATTTTTTTGAGGTTAGGATTTTCATGCATTAGTATTTGACAGATCACGTGGGATTTCAGACATGGTGTCAAAGAGAAAGATGCTCAGTATGCTTTGANAATGAAATTATCTTCAAAAAGTAAATGTCATGGACCAATCTAACGTTTCAAATAAAGAACCGATGAGATTTTGCAAATTTTATGCGTTTTTTTTAAAAAAAAAGGTAGCAAGCTCTTAAAAAATCACCCGTTACTTTCACAATGTAGGTGCATACATACTTACACACATATATACATAGTGCTTGCCACAACTTTACGACACTCACATAAAGACAAGATTTGACCATTCATCTTAATATTTCTTAATGTTAATTTTTATAAAAATATAGTAAATTATTGACGAAAAGCCATAGCAATCCGAGTTTGAACCTTCTTTGCAACAATAAAAAAACAACAAAATTTCTTAAAAATTTCCAGCCTTTTAATTCGATTTTTTAGAAAGATTTTTAGTATGCAGTTTTGTATCCCATTCAATACGTAGTACGTACCTTTGATTTTTGGGAATTTGTCCTGTTGAAAATCGTCGAACTTACTTTGTATGGAAGAAAATCACAGATATGGTAAAAAAAAAAAAATTGCCAAAAATCAACGGTAAGTCGCAGCTACTTTAAACTTGCACTTTACTGTACTAAAATTTAATATCTTTCTAAAAAAAATGAATTAAAAAGCTGGAAATTTGTACGAAAGTTTGTCGATTTTTCTAATGTTACACAAAGACCAAAACTAAGTTTTATATGGTTTTTGTTAAAGAATATACTATATTTTTATAAACAAATAATTAAACTTAAAGAATATTAAAATAAATGGTCAAATCTTGCCAATATGCGAGTGTCGTAAAGTTATGATAAGCACTATACATACGTACATATGTACATAAGTACGAGTATATATTGTAATACATATTCATATCCATTTATTGGCATTATCACGCACATATACATCGGTAAGGATATTTGTTTAAATATGTGCACTTGAATGTGTTTTTCTTATATGATGGCATTGGAGTAGATTGTGTTTGTTATTGCAAATCCTCAACAATTGCTCTCTGTGACACTCTGACGCTGGGTAAGTATAGGACTGCATTTGCAGTGGTTCAAGTTGTCTTTTAAGCAGGTGACTATTAGAGGTATTTTTGTGCTTAAAAGCTTTATAGGTGTGAAAATTTTTGAAGTTAAGAGGGGAACTATTGTAAGTAGAGAAACGAATTGCTTTAAAAAGCAAAATATCTCTTCTAACTGTGGCATACTTATACTGGAAAAAAATTCGTTGCAACATCTACTAAATCTGCAAAAGAGTCGGAGCCTTAGTCTAGTATTAATGACTACCGGCGAAGGACTTTACCTAGGTTACTTACTGGATCTTTTGTCGTAGTTAAAAATCATATCACAAATATTTATTGACCAAGACATGTCTTCGATTTAAATCGAAATGTTTAAAATTATGAAGCGGAAAATCGTCTAAGCTTTCTAGGATTAAATTGAGGTTAAGACGATTATGAATACGAATGAGAATACGATGAGGAAACTCGAATACGAACACGAATGTAAATACTAGTAGGAAGACGAGTACGAAGAATATACCAAAGCAAATATGTACAAAGACCCAATACTAAAGAGATGAGAGTGAAGACAAATACGAAGAAGTATATGAACACAAATGCGAAGACGAATACGAGTAAGAACATGAATATAAAGACGAATACCGGAACAAGGCGACGAAGGCGAAGGCGAATACGAAGAAGAGGATGAATACGAAGGTGATTGCGAAAGCGAATAAAATACGGCGATGAATATAAATACAAAGAAGAAAACGACGACCAACAAAGACTAATACGAGGGTGAATACGAATACAACGACCAAGACCATTACGAAGACAGCGATTAAGACCAATACGAATGTCAAGCCGAAGTCTAATACGAAGACAAATGTGAAAATGAAGAGGATCCGACGGCGAAGACGAAAGCGAATATGGAGATGACTTGGTAGACGAATGCGACGACTAAGTCGGAGCTAAATTCGAAGAAGAATATGATCACGAATTCAAAGTATAATATAAATATTGATACTGAAGCATTCCGAAGAAGAATACGAAGAGGATGACTAAAACGAACACAAGCTGAATGCGAAGAACGAATACGTATGCTATACACATAAGTACCGGGACTAAAACTAAGCCGAAAAAAATCTTTGGGACCTTTAAAAAAAACTAGAAAAGCCGCCGAATATCGGCAGTAACTGGAGAACACATTGCTTTTATAATTTAATGCCCATTGTATGTCCGACATTAGAACTATTTAAATAATTTTTCTTTTGTTTAATGAACA